AGGATCATCGCCTCCCTGGCAGACAGACCGTACGAGGAGCCACCGGCAAAGCCGCCGCGGTTCTCGCAGCTGAGAGTGAGTCACTCTTTGTGTTCCCTGCCCGGTGTGTGTGCGGAGCGTGCTCAGCAGTGGCCGCAGTGCTTTCTTCTGTCCTGGCCCTCCTTCACCTTCCTCCCTTTCTTTCAAAGAACTAAATCCAGGTCTGTCAGGAATAATTGTCCCCTTTCTGATTAGCGGCTGTCACCTCTAGGGGACTCGGAGATCTGTAGAGGATGTTTACTGCGAGCTCAGGTCCCGGGTGGGTACCCAGGCTCAGAGAGGGAGGCACGTTCAGCCTTACTCTGCTGCTTTCATGCATAGGAAATTCTGCCTAGCAAAATCAATTAAAAAAGGGGGAAAAAAAACCCAACAATGTCAATATTTTAGTTAAAACTCCTTTGAAGGTAAGTATGGAGAGTAATAAGCGTAGAGAGCGATCTTTGAAAATTGCATTGCTTTTTGAAAAAAGGAAAGGGTAAAACCCAAATGGCTTCTTTCTTATTAAAAACAAATTGATTTGACCTGGAAGTATGGGTTACTCCTGGTTCTCAGATACTCGATGCTTTGGGAAGAAAGTTCTGGAAGCATTGAGGCAACGGCACATCTGGCTGTGCGGAGGAGGGAGTGTTTTGCGTTAAACAGTTCCCATGGAGGCACCTTGGCTGCTGCTGGAGATGATGCCGAGCCCAGTACTCCCACTCTGAGCGTGGTCAAGCAGAACTTGGGAACTGTGACAGCCCGGCTGGCTCTGACTTGGCCGGAGCACCTGGAGCACTTGGGCAGAGTCAAAACAAAGTACAAGTTTGACGTTTGTGCTGGACACATTCACCATTTGTCTGGACAGACGCCCTCCAGCTGAAGTGGTGGACGCGTTTACCAAGTCTTGGCTTTCTTCTTTGCGGCTCAAATTCCATCTTCCCTCCGCAAAACAAAGCTGAACTGTGCGAAAACATATCAGTGCTGGGAGAAATCTTAACGTGGCCGGTTATATCCATTCAGCTTTTCACCTTATCAACTCCAGCGACCCAAACAGCAAACACTCCCGCAGGCGTGACCCTGCTATCGAAATGAGTGGGGAAAGATAACATCCAGCCCTCGCAGGTCAAATTCTGCTGCCTGCCCCGTGGGAAACGTCAGGCAGCTCCTTCGGATCAGGTGCACTGAACGGGTGGCCGGGTGCTACTCCCACCTCTGTGCCCTGCGCCGAAGGGGAATACTGTGCTGACTTTCTTCCCCTTGTCTCCTGGCCAGACGTAAGGCAGCCTCCCCGCAGGCGGGAGTGCGGCACGGCTCAGCTGGTGAGATGGGACGCAGCTGGGACCCGTGTTTTGATTGCGCCCGTTGGGAGTCTGAGCTCTGCCTCCCTGGGCCGGCTGGGCTTCTCTCGAGCTCTTGCTGCCAAATAGCACTCGACGTGATTTGTGGATGTTGATTTTTTTGCTGCGGGAGCCGTCGGATGCCAGGCCCTTCGTTATCGGGGTTGGCTGGGAGGGGAGCCGTCGTGTTCGCCGTTCTTCCTCAAATCCGACATTTGAGAGCTGAGTTTGGCAAAACCCGTTGAGCTTGCAGCGAACCTGTGAGCTCGGGAGCAGGGCGGCGTGCCACGGAGGGCGAGCGTGTCG